CGGCCTGCCCCAGGGCGCCCGCCGTGCCCATCTGCGCCGAGACCTGGAGCAGGGCGCTGAGGGAGGGCCACACGCCAGCTGCGTCCCGCGGGCCCAGGGGCCGCAAGCCAGCGCCAGCCACCCGCCACCCCCGCGCTTCTCCGCAGCCCCCAGCCGGAGCCCCTCCACCGGGGCCACCGCCGACCACGCGCTCCACATGCGCCAACCACTCTACGCACATCGTCCAGCCCCTCCTCGCCATTGTTGGCCCCTTTGTATAGATGGGGAAACTGAGGCGTGGAGAGGTGAGACCACCTGCTTGGCTCCCACGGCTGGGATGCGGGACAGCCAGGCCTGGGAGCCCGGCTGTCGAGCCCCAGCCCAGGGTCTCCATGGAAAGAGCAGCCAGCACAGGACACCCACGTTCCCCATCAGACACAGAAACCCAGGCCAGGTCAGCTGAGTGGCTGGGGACAGTCGCCCAGCAGGCCTGTGACAGGCTCTGGAATCAAATGAGCATCACAGAAATCCTGCTCAAACTCATTCACGCCATGTGGCCCAGGGCCGGCAGCGTACTCGCCTTGAGTCTGTTTCGTCAGCCATTAGTGGGAATAAGAAAAGTGTCAACCTCGTGGGTGGCTGTGCGGGTTCCGTGGGCTAAGAGCCCTCACGGCTTACATGTTCCTCCTCCTCTCTCCTCAGAGGCAGAGGGAAGAGAGTGTGCTGTGACACGAGGCCAAAATCCCAACCGCCTTGCACTGCTGTGTGACCTTAGACAGGTGACCTGACCTCGCTAAGTCTCAGTCTTCTGACCTGTAAAGTGGGCATAACTGCCCAGCATCTCTTCATGGTCTCCTGGCACAAAAAACCCTCAGTCGACAGTAGCTGGTATGGCGGATGGTCTGCACAGAGGGGTCCCCTCCAGCCCACGCTGATGCCCCAGCTCTCTGCAGCCCCTGTAGGGGGATGCCCCCACCCGCCCGCCCACCTCCCCCAGCTCCAAGGAGCCAGCTACCTGGGCTTGACATAACCATTCACGGAGAAATCCAAGCGCTGCTGGAAGGCGGCGGTCCCTCGGATCCGGACGCTGATGGCGGCAGAGGCGTTTAGGGCCAGCCGGGCAGGGAGGCCAGACACGGTGGGAAAGGCCAGCTCCTCCAAGGCGAGGTTCAGTCTCCGGTTCAGCTGCACCTCCTGGCCCTGTAGCCAAAGAGCCGTAAGAGTGCACGAGACAGCCCCTGCTGTGCGCCAGGCGCGCACCCAGCACCCAGCACACACAACCTCACTCGCTCCTCACACCACCCTCAGAGGGGACATTACCATTATCCCCAGTTTCCAGAAGAGAAGACTGAGCCCACAAACAAACAAATCAAATAACCCAGCCAAGCCCAGGTAGCTAGAAATAGGCCGAGCTGGGGTTTGAACCCAGTTTACTATGGGAAAAGGTCAGAGGTCAGGGTCAGTCAGGTGAGGAGAGGAGCGGGTTCTGCCAGTGACACAGAGCCCTTTGTGCCAGGTGCTTTCTAACACTTTAAGTCATTTGATTCAACAGCTCTATGAAGTAGATATCATCATCATCGTTACTACTATTATTATTATCGTTACATCATCCCCATTTCACAGATGCAGAAACTGAGGCCACGACAAGTTAAACCACATGCCCAAGGAGGTAAGTGGTGGATCTGGGACTTGAACTTGGGCAGTCTGGCTCCACATTCCATGCTCTTGAGTACTTCCCCCCACGTGTCAGAGGAAACATGGCGGGCCGGCAGGGCAGGGAGGGGCCGGCGCAGCCTGAGGTACCTTCAGGAGCTTGATTGCAAGCTGAGCCAGGTTCAGGGACGGGCGTCTCCCGTGACTCCCCATCGCCCCGCAGCTGACAAAGCCCAGCTCGTGCCCGAACACCTTCACGCTCAGCTCACAGCGCAGCGCCCGCTCCCCGCGCCTCTGGGCCACCTGCGACCAGGAAAGGCGTCTGGGTTAGCCGGGCCAGGCGCCCGGACGCTGAGACGGGGACGGGGCAGCTGGAGAGAAAGGTCAAGGGCTGGTGGGGTCCAGAACAGGGATTGCCAACTCCTGCCCCGCAGGCAGAATCCACAGACGTCTTTCCTTTGAGCTGCACAGTACTGCCCAGCGTGGTGTGCGCGTGCACGTGTGTGTGTGCACATGTGAATAAACTCTTTGTTCTGGAACAATTTCAGATATACAGAAAAGTTACAGAGTTAGTGCACAGAGCTTCCATATATCCGCCACACTGTTTCTTCCATTGTTAGTCTTTCACCGCCAACATGCTGGAGACAATGAAGAAACCAACGCTGGCACGTCACTCTCAACCAAACTCCAGACTTGACTCAGATTTCACCAGTTTGTCCATTCCAGCCCTCTTTCTATCCCAGGATCCAATCCAGGGACCACACTGCATTTAGTTGTCAAGTCTCTTCAGTCTCCTCTGGTCTCTGACAGTTTCTCACTGTATTTCATGCAGTGTGTATTTTTTAAAAATTGAATTTGTTTCTAACATTTAAAAATTGGGAGGTTTTACATAAAATCCAGCTTCTCAAAAAAGAGAAATATTGGCCTCCCCCTGCCACCAACAAGGGGCAACAAGTGGCCAGAGCTGAGCAGTGGCTGCCACTTTTAGCTGAGGTATGTGCTTCTCCTGTCTGCCATAGTCCCCGCCATTCCCTATTGTCTCTTCAACACTCAAGCCAAGTTTTGTTGCCATTCATCACCGTGCTTGTGCAAAAGGTATCTTGGGATATGAGTTTCCATTAAAAATGAGAAAATAACAGACCAAAGGGATTGTGGATTCTAAGAAAAAATGTTTATACCCAGCCCACCACCCTCATTCAAGTTACTCACTGGCCCCAGATCTAGTCCAAGAGGCTTTAAAGGCAGGGACCACGTCCCGACCTGCTTTGTGTTCCTGGGCCCTGGGTTCACACCTGGCGGTTGGTAAACGTGAACATGTGAACAAACGCCCAGCCACCCGCCTCGATCACCCTGCGATGTACTTGCCAATGACATTTTACAAGAACACAAAGGCGCCAACAACCTACATGTCCACGGATGGGAGAATGGTTATGTAAAGCGTGGTCCCCACCCACAGAAGGGATGTTAAAATGTACGCTCGCAGTCAGTTGTCAGTAAGAAAATACTCAAGTAACAAAGTGAAATGAAAAAGCAGACTAACCATACACACCCCCTCTGACCCAACAATTCCCCTCCTAGATACAGGGCCAGAAAAATACACACACATCCACCAAAAAGGCATGCGCCAGAAGGTTCATACGCTCTCTGTAATAAGCCAGAAACTGGAAGCACCCCAAAGCCAGCAAAAGTAGACTGGATAAAGAAAACGTGGTAGGGAACTCTACACAGAAAGGAGAACGCAGAAAGTACACGCAGCAACATCGATGGATCTCACGAACAAATTTTAAGTAAAAGAAGCCAGACAAAAAAAAGGACATGAGTAGCATCATTCACGCTCGCCAAAAGGTGCAAACAACCTGAATGTCCATCAATGGACGAATGGGTAAACACAATGTGGTCTGTCCACACAACAGAACATTATTCAGCCTTAAAAAAAAAAATGAGGGGCCCGCCCAGTGGCGCAAGTGGTTAACTGCGCGTGCCCCGCTGCAGCGGCCCGGGGTTCGCCAGTTTGGATCCCAGGCACGCACTGACGCACCGCTTGGCAAGCCATGCTGTGGCGGCATCCCATATAACATCGAGGAGGATAGGCACAGATGTTAGCCCAGGGCCAGTCTTCCTCAGCAAAAAAAAAAAAAAAGCTCTGATACATGTTGCAACAGAGATGAACCT